CTCGCTGTCTTCTTTAGTCGAACCTTCTTAAAACTTTGGAGTATTTTTGGAGTGAAACATTTTGGAATATTTTTGTGCTTGATGAGTCGCGAGCCTGCCACAACATGGCATGCTCTGATGCGTCACCAACCCATGCATTACACTGGTTGATACAACATATCACTACAAGACATTATATTGTCACAAATGTATCTACCACCAAACAAGGGTGTTTATGGTTAATAAATCTGGAAAGGTATGCGAACCATATATTTTTAGTCCTCTCAACCCGCAATCAGGCCTTGAATCACGTTCGAATTTGATGACCACATACAACAGTGCGACAAAGACGCTGTGTTATATGGTTTCCAAGATAGAAAAAAAATTACGAAAAATAACTTGACATTTTAATATATGTAAGGTTAAACAAAAAGGTCCAATGACTTCCCTCAAGATGCGGTACGTGCTACGCGTGACAATTTAGGTCATTTTTTTTAGTAGAAAAGAATAGATGTGCATTATTTCACCGTGAGTGCTATTGTTCCACTTTTCCTCTTACGCCTCTTTTTTCCCCCATGAACTACGTTACCAATCCACAAAATCGATTCGCACATGGAATTTGATAATACATTAATTTCAATTGTATAGCTACATGTTAATACAAAGAAACAAAATGCAAGCTTCTTGTAAAGTAACTCATTTATACAATGTTATGACATAAGAAATTTAGCTTTACCAAAACTGGTATAATATAATTCCATATATCTAGGTTTGAATCGCTTTATTATATAATTGAATTTTTGAAAATGTTTTTGGAAATTAGTATATATAACTTTAAGTTTTTAAAAATATAATGAATCATCTATATATATAGTCAAAAACATTTATAATACATATTGTTCATTTATCTTTTCCATAAAAAGCTTTCAATATAATTTATTAATATATATGAAATAATATATCTCATCTTAATATATGCCAAGTTTCAAAAAAATAGAACTATCTTGAATTCCCCCTATCTATGAATACTTCCAATGGATAACATCAGATGTGAAGATCAATCTTAATGTGGATAAATTTCAGTCAATTTTTTTCTAATCAATAACCCAGTTTTTATACGTTCTTATGGGAGCTTCACTTCAACTTTGATGCGTTCCTGAATGCACATTTGATTTATTCATGAGACTATTTCACTTGGGAAGATGTGCAATGTCTATTTGAATATCACTATATATGTTGTTTGTTTTACTTTTGACATGGCGGGATGGAAGGGGGAAGTAGGATGGGGCGCGATGGTAACCGGAAAACATTGTACATACATTATGGTGTCAGAACATTATAGCTTATGCTTTTGTGTAGGCTGTAGTGGGGTAGCCCATATGGGGTCAACCCAATTAGGGTTAGTACTTGTACCCAACTGTTTCATAGTTCATTCATTCTCGTTCTCATCTTCTCATATGGAGTAACAATAGCTGATCAGTTCATGAAAAGCACTTGAAACTAATCAAACATAAGAATACAATTAACACTATAAAGGTTGGAGATCTATGGATTAAGGGTGTTTTAAAAGTTGCAGTGTAACTTCTTAAGAACAACGGCGTGACTAAAATGGTTGTATGTGAAAGTTGTCTCCAAATGGTACACTCACCCTTCTCATACACCATCTTTCTCGCTATACTGAATCGTTTGAAAACTGGCTTGCAGACCTTGTTTGATTCGATTTGTCTAATTTAACCATACCGAAACGTGATCTAACGACTATGAACTGTGTTTTATCCATCTTGATTCCACTATACTATAATCTTCTATGGTGAAAAACATGTGTAAATAGAACTGACCAATCGCTATAAGACAGCGCCAAGAACACCCTCCCTTAGAGTCTATCAGAGTTAATTGCACGATCTGACAAATTTTGTATTTTGCTCAATCCTGTCGACCATTCTCGCACTGCGTTCTGGGATTTTCAATATTTCTCTATCCCTTGGACTCTACATGTGCTTTTGCTGGACGTTTCATTATCTGATCAGGGATGGTTTACGTTGAGTTGGAAAAATAAGTTGCACCCCACCTGACTCAAAACAAAAGTAAATTCAGTCCGAAATGGATGTTACTTTAAAATGAATCAACCTAAAGACAATGTAATTTCTCGTATTTAGGGTTGATCCCTCCCAAATTGGCGTCCAAGTTTCCTAAGGGGTTTAGTTCTTTATGCGTGGCCTTAACAATTTCACTTACATCGCCTAACGCTTTGTAGCGCTACCAAGGCACTACCGAGTGTAATGTCCGAATGAAATGAGGTCGACGGTCGGTCGACGGAGCTTCGACCACCGTTGACCTGACCGGCGGGCAAAAAAAAAACCAAACTGTATTGAATGACATGCCATCCTAGAAAGGCAATCAACCCTAAAGACCATGCGACAATGTGTTCAGGGTTGATGCCTCCCTTGGGTGGCATGTCATTCATAAAGGGTTTATTTTTGTTTGTCCCAGGCTGGGAGCTCCCTGGGTGCATTCATTTTTTCTGTTGATATATCCATAGAGAAATTGTTTTTGCAATTGGATCGTTTCAGAGTCGTTCTCACTTTAAAACTTGGAATCAAAGGGATCAGAAACCGTACAACCTGCTAACGCAGATTTACCAGACCGTGATCGCGGGTGTAGAACAAGTGGCAGTCCAAAGGATGGAGAAATATCGAAATTCGTGAAATACGGTGCGAGGGGCAGTCGACGGGATTGAGAAACGTTACAAAAACGTCAAGTAGCGCAATTATCTCAGTATATATTCTTAGTCAAACAAACACCACGGAGGCACCATAATAGCCAAACTCCCTATCTTCAATGAAAGTTACGGGTAAGGAACGAGTAGAAAAGCCCTGATCGTCCGAGCTAAAATGATTCCATTAGTCCTGCCCGTTCCCTTCACTGAGGAGCACCTCGGCAGAACTCCTCCAAACATCGTTTCGGTAGCGTCTTCTCGAGAGGATTGATTTTGGACTGAAAGACGACGGCTGTAACAACTACAGTGGCAGCATTAACCAGGAGTGACTAAGGGATCTGTCTCGAATTTTCGCTATTCATATGGCCAATTAGGAGCTGTCGTGATTCGGCTCTGTCGAGATTTGTTGTTAACTGGGTCTGGTCGAAATTCTCGACACGCAAACAGAAACGCAGAAGAGGAAGAAAAAAACGCGGGCCAGGACAGCTGTACGGATGGCAACAACGCAGATTGACTTTAACAGAATTCTCAGTAGGACTGGCAAGCAATACAGAATGGAGTGAGATGAGTGGATGGAGAGGATGGGTGGAGAGAATGTACTGTAGAGGATGGAGTGTTGCGGAGATGAGTGAGACAGGATGGGGAGGAAGCTTTTGTCGAATCCCTATTTCGTTCGTAAGCCCCTCCAAAAGCATGAGCATATTGGTAGGCATGACGAGCATTAACTAAAATCCTGCCCTTCATGGTGGTGGACTGGACGAGCCTCAGGCACTCGTGGCCCCGATCTTCCCGCTTTGATTCCTCCATTCACTAGGAGCTGAAAGTCAAAGTTTACGCCATTGATTTTATGCTCGTTCGACCCTGCGTGACCCTCTTCTCAAAGAATGGCACTTTCATGAAGGGCATGGTTGTAACGCAGCGCAAACATTGGTGCTTCACGATAAACTACGACCTACTGTAGGCCCTCTGCTGTTCGTTTACACCCTTGTTCTCACCCTTCTCACCATCGCGCACACTGGCTACAGTGTTTGGACGTAGCAGGCTGGTGCGATAACTCGGTTGCGGGCGAAGTCGCACGAGGTGACGAAACAAAGCCTTGGGAGGAAAAAAAAACCGTTAACGTTGAATAGCCGTCCAACCGTTTTGAAAATGACAGTACCATTTTGTAAAGTTTGAAACCCTGACTGACCGCCTTGGGTCAAATTGTCACTATAACGCCTTTGGTCCGTTGCGGCTACACTAGGCGTCCCGGTCAGTCTAACATATGCCAGTCTATCGAGAAAGAGGGTGTACACAGGTCCCCGCGGCCCTTGTTGTAGTAGCACCCTCTCCATGTCAAGTTGTCCCTCGAAATAGCTTCCACAATATGATGTATGAGCTACTAGGCCTAGTAAGAGCATTTGACGCGAAGTCTTGAGTTCTGTCGGGTTTTCAAATCGCAATGCGCGGCACCCCTGAGTTGATGTTTGAGCATTTCATGTGGCAAGCTGTTGGATAGCGGGGGGGACTCCCCGAAACAAGCAGTGTGGCGACAAGCGAATGCCGCCCGGGGATTCACGCGGTAACAATGCGCGTATCAGCAGTTTCCAGGTTCTAGGGATGCGAGCACAGCGAACCCTCGTTGGATATTCTTGTGCAGAAACTAAATTCCTAAACAATATTGAGATCCCTAGTAATAGTAATAGTTATGGTATTACTAGTTTCAGTGTCGCCGCATGCGCGCTAGTGGAACGGCTTGTAATGACAGATGATGCGGTTAACATGATGCCACGCGTGCCAGATCAGGACACTCATGTGACGCCAGGTGCCGCCGCCGCCGCGGCTACAGCGCACGCCGCATTTAGCGGTGGGTTTTGCGGCGTACCTTCTAAAGATCCCTCACCGGATAATGCATCTCCCCCAGCTAGCACAACGGGTCGCCCTGCATTGTTCACAGCACCCCAGGCGGCTAATATTCCACATTGGAACGTTGGGAGCATCACCAGTTGTAGTAGTAATAGTACTAACGATACCTCCGTGTCGTCTTTAGTACCTTTTACCACAAATAATAGTAGTGGTAACCAGCTGATAGCTGCCAGCGGCTCGTTCGGCGTTGACCGGCGGCAGTCAGTGACGCCGCCGCCACTGCCACCGAATTGCGGCGCCGCCGGCGCAGATGGACGTCCCAGCGGCGTCCCCGTGCCGGCCGCAGCGAACGGATTCACAACGCCGCCAGGAGCGCCGCCGGGGGCGCCGCCGGGAGTGCCGGGGCTCGCCGCCCCACCTCTGTCCGCCGCTGCGGCGGCGGCTGCGCTCCGGAGGCGCATTCCCCAGGGGGGCCCTGCCGGACGATGGGTACTGCTGGCTGAAATACGGGGAGAAGCGGCTTGCGCGCAGTGGAAACTCGAAGATTAGGTGGGTGGATCCGGAAGATCCGGTGAATGGAAGAGTGGTGAGGTGACTTTCTTCAAGAGCATAAGAACTAATCCCGCTTAAATACTGAAGATCAAGGGGCGGTAGTGTGTGGATCAAAGAGGGTAGGAGGGGAGTGTGGGAAGGCGGATAGAGGAGGGTGGAATGGGGAGAGGAAGGGAGGAAGGAGGGAAGGTGATGGGGAGGGGAACGAAAAAGAAAGAACGGGGTGAGGGTGAATGTCTGGCCTCTCGAGACTTTTCTCTTGATCTGTCTTTGGATGCCTCTCCCCCTTCCCCCCCCCCCCCCCCCCTTTCACCCCCCCTTATCCCCCCCTTACCCCTCCCTAACCCCTTCCTTTCCCCCTCATTCCCCCCCATTCCCCCCATCCCCCCACCTGCTACTTTCCCCAGGTCATACTTCAAGTGCGCTAGCTCAATGCTTCGAACGACATCAGCGGAGAGTTTGGGACCAGCAGCAGCAGCAGCAGCAGCAGCAGGTGCAGCAGAAGCAGAAGCAGGAGCAGGAGCAGGAGCAGGAGCAGGAGCAGGAGCAGGAGCAGGAGCGGCAGGAGCAGGAGGGGCAAGAGGAGGAGCAGCAGAAGCAGCAGCAGTGCCCTCGGGTGCATTAGCAACTGGATCTGCACCAACCGAGCCTGTGGCAACATCTGAACTACCTGGATCCGGGCCACCCGGGTCAGGGGAGCCTGGTTTAAGGCCGTCTGGGTCAAGCCCATCCGGGACAGGACCATCTAGATCCGGGCCGCCTGAATCCGGGCAACTTGCATCCACCGGCCCACCTGGATCCGGGCCAGGGTCAGGTACATCTGCAGCAATGGAGACGATAACACCGAAACACGACAGGGCCGTTACCCCACCGCCGCCATCCAAAGCTCTTTCCGCTGGCGCTAGAAGCACTCCCAGCAGCAGCACTCCCAGTAAAAGCACTCCTTGCAAAAGCACTCCCAGCAGCAGTGGCACTCCCATCAGCGGCACCAGGAATAAGACCAGCGCAAGCGGCGCGACCGGCGGCGGGGCAGTGACCCGGCCCGCCTTCACTACGAGCGGCATCGGCGGCGGCGGTGGGGAGCGGAGAGAAGAGCGCGAACGGTGGCGGCGGCGGCGCCAGCGGAAGCGGCTGCACCGGCGGAAGCGGCGGCGGCGGAATGTGCCATTTTGAGCCGTGTCCGGCAAAGAAGCAGGTGGACTGGCAGTTTAGTCTAGACGGCAGTGCGAGTGCAGGTCCTGTTTCGTTTGAAGTGACATACCTTCACGAGCATAACCATCCCATGGCCGCCTCTCCAATTTCCCCCTCCGCCCCCATCGGAGCACCACGGCCTGCGGATTCCGGATTTTCTCCTGGAGTGAATCGCTCGGTCCGAAACGGGAACCTGTTCCGGCAGGGGAATGTGGCGGACGGGGTCGGAGGAGCAAGCACGGCGGGAGGAGTGGTAAGTGGTGTGGCACAAGGGGCGGCAAGTGGAGTGGCAGACGGACGTGGGATGGCAGCATTTGCGAGCGCAGGAGCGGCGCCAGCATTTCCCAGCCCTGGAGGAGGGGCGGCAGCGACTTTTCCCAGCCCAGGAGGGGCGGCAGCGGTGCCATTTCCCAGCCCAGGTGGGCCGGCAGCACTTGCAAGCCCAGGAGGGGCGGCAGCATTTGCCAGCCCAGGAGGGGCGGCAGCATTTGCCAGCCCAGGAGGGGCGGCAGCATTTGCCATCCCAGGAGGGCGGCAGCATTTGCCAGCCCAGGAGGGGCGGCAGCATTTGCCAGCCTAGGAGGGGCGGCAGCATTTGCCAGCCCAGGAGGGGCGGCAGTCCCTTGGAGTCCAGCTGGGCCACCAGATACAGCGCCTGAAGCACGGGGTACTGTTCCTGGGAGGGAGACGCTGGGAGGGGGTTCGTCAGTGGCGGTTACTATGACTTCAGGTGCAGGGACGTTCAGGCCAGGAGTGAGCTTGAATGCAGCAGGGGCAGTAGTCATGGGACCTGGAGCGGCAGCAGCGACTGCAGCAGCAGCAGCGACTGAAGCAGCAGCAGCGGCAGCATCAGCGGCAGGAGCATTGGCAACAGGAGCAGGTGGTGTGGAAGCGAGCGGGCACATGATGGGGGTGAAGGTGGAGGAAGGAGCGTGGAGTGGGGGCGAGTCACGATGGCAGGCACAACAGGTGTCACAATCTTCTCAACAGCAACTGCAGCAGCAGCAGCATGGGCCAATGGTTCCTCCAATACCATACCTGCAGCAAAAACAGGAGCAGCAACAAGAGCATCAGCAGCAGCAACAACAACAACAACAGCAACAGCAGCCGCAGCAGCAGCAGCATCAGTGGCAGCAACAACAGCAGCAGCAGCAGCAGTGGCAGCAGCAACAACCGCAGCAGCATTCGCAGCAACAACCGCAGCAGCATTCGCAGCAACAACCGCAGCAGCATTCGCAGCAACAACCGCAGCAGCATTCGCAGCAACAGCCGCAAGCTCCACAGCTACAGCAGCAACAACAGCAGCAGCCATGGCTGCCGCCGTTGCCGTTGCCGCAGCAGCAGCATCATCTACAACAGCAAGTGCAGCAGCAGCAGCTACAACAGCAAGTGCAGCAGGCGTGGCAGCAGCAATCATACGCACCAGTTGTGCCTCAGAATCAGCATGAGCAGTATCCAGTGCTCACACAGCCACAGCACCACCATGAGCATACTCAAATGCTCACTGAACAACAGCAGCAGCCACACCACCACCACCAGCAGCAGACCCACCTGCTGCAACAGCCGCAGCAGCAGCAGCCGCACCAGCAGCAACAACAACAGCCGCAACAGCAGCAGCCGCACCAGCAGCAACAGCAACATCTGCAACAGCAGCAGCCACACCAGCAGCAACAGCAACAGCTACACGTGGAGCAGCCGCCGCAACATACGCTTCATACGTTTCAGGTGCATGGCCAGGAGAAAATGCAGCCGCCGCCCTTTGGGGGCCACCAGCAAGAACTGGTGTTCCAACAGAATCAAACTCAGGGGTATTATCAGGTGGACCCACAACAAAGGCAGCACCAGGGGCACCATTGGCCGCAGCAGTCGGATCAACAGCACCAGCAGCATCAGCACAATCAGAATCAGCAATGTGGCGAACCGATGACAGCAGCATACAACCAATCTCAAATACTTCAGCACCACCAGCAGCAACAAGTGCAGCAGCAAGAGCAGCTGCAAGCACAGCGGCAAGTGCAGGGGCAAGTGCATCGGCAGCCACAGCAGCAACCGCAGCAGGGCAGTCAGCAGCATAGTCAGAGCGAGGAGGGTGCATGCCTGTCACGTCAGTATCAAGAACTGAAGGTGTCGCAAGAGCCATGGCAGCAGCAACAATGGCCCTGGCAGCAGCAGCCGCAGCAGCAGCAGCAACCGTGGCAGCACCAGCCACAAGGACCACAATTGCTGCAGCAGCAGCAGCAGCAACAACAACAACAGCACCTGTCAAACAATCAGCAGCAGCAGAACTACCATCACCAACACCAGCAAAAACATAATTATCAGCATCATCTACAGCACCAGCCGCAACAGCAGCAGCAGCAGCAGCAGCAGCAGCAGGAAGATGAAAATCAAAGAGAGGCGAAGCGTCCGTCCCTAGATTACGCAAAAAGACTCCTTCCCTTGCGCCTCCCAACCTTGCCCCAAACACTGCAGATCAATCCTCCACAGCTGCCCTTCCAACCACACAGGTCACTTAATAGCCCAGCACTTAACAGCCCTGCACTTAACAGCCCAGCAGCACTTAACAGCCCTGCACACTGCTTTGCGGATTCAAATCCCCAGTCGCCCTTGCGCCTTTCCACTCCGCCTCTCATACGCCCCAACACGCCTCTGCAATGCGTCAGTCAGTCCCCACCTGCTGCATTGTCCGGGTCGCACTCATGGCCTCCCCCAGATGCGCCCTCCCTGCGGCGACACAGATTGGAACGTAACTCGTCAACCCAAACCTGCGGTGCGTTTCCGTTGAGCCAAAGCAGGTTCTTGTTTGATGTGAGTCAAGGAGGGAGTGTGGATGGGGGTCTGGGTCAGGGTGGGTTGGTGCAGGGAGGCGGGAATGTGATGGGTGGAGTGGAGGTGTCGTTTGAGTCGTCTCAGAAGTCACCTCATAGCAGGGTCTCGTTCGACGAGAGTCGAGGAGGGAATGTGGATGGGGGTCCGGGTCAGGATGGGTTGGTTCAGGGAGGAGGGTGTATGATGGGTCGTGCAGAGGGGATGGATGGGGTGGGGGGGGCGCAAGGTCTAAATGAACGGCTTCAGCACCAGCAGGATCAGCAGCAACAGCAGCAGCACAGGCAGGCGCAACATGAACAGCAAGGATTGGAGCAGATGCTAGTGCACAGTCAGTTTCAGCACTCATTCCCTCAGGGACAGCAGCAGCAGTTGTATGCCGCTGCTCCCAGCCTTCAGAGTAACAACCATGAGTCCCTTACTAGCCAAAAGCACCAGCAGCACCACGAACACCATTACCACCAGCAACAGCAATACCAGCAACATCAACGGCAGCCGCAACAGCAACACCAACAGCAGGAGCAGCAGCCGCAGCACCAACAGCAGTACCAGCACCACCAACAGCAGCACCAACAGCAGCACCAGCAGCATCAACAGCAGCACCAGCAGCACCAACAGCAGGAGCAGCAGCCGCAGCAAGAGCCACTTCTGGAAAACTCCAGCAGCACTCTGTTGCACACTTCGTGCACGTGCCAGCACGTGAGCCACCATCACCACCCTCCATCAGCTTCATCACCTGTTCAATCCAATTTTGAGTCGATTGAAAAGCCATTTCACCACAACTCGTCATGCGCCTCCCTGCCAGGTCCCAACAGCATACCCCCTGATGCCATGCCGTCGCTGATTTCTGCAGGGCAAGATGCGCGGATGGGGGATGTGGGGGAGAGTGCAAAATACTCTTTGGAGAACACGTCACAGGCCTTGCATCGTATATCAGTACCACCGCCCTTTCAGCCTGGCTTGCAGCAACTACAATGCGTAAATCAACTGCCACAGCAAATTCCTGAGCCCGTGCATGGCGTTTCACCAAATCCTGGAGGCCAACCTCAGCAAGTATCGTCAAGTTCCTTCCCGTCATATCAATACCCATCACGTGATGTGGCTTCATTAGCCACCTCATCAGGAGCCATACCATCAGAAGCCACGTCGTCAGGAGTCATGGCAACAGGAGGCCTTTCCGCACATGCCATTCAATGGCCATCAGGTTTCCCTGGGGGACTGATGCCATCAGATGCCATGATGGTTTGCACATCAAGCAACAATCCAGAAGGCTATACTCCGGGACATACAGCGGAGGGGCAACAAGTAGTAGCGCAGCAGCAATCAGATCAGCAGGGACAGCATCAGCACGAGTATTCAAATCAGCAACAGCATGAGGAGCATCCTGGGTATCAGCAAGAGCCATACGGACAGCAGCATCAGCAGCAGCAGCAGCAGCAGCAGCAGCAGCAGCAGCAGCAGCAGCAGCAGCAGCAGCAGCAGCAGCAAGGGAACTGGGTGCAGCAGCACCAGCAAGAACAGATTCTAGAGGCCAGTGCAACCTTTTCCCATGGGGGGGATCAGGGCTCGCAACAGCTGCCGGAGCTACGGTACGTGGAACAGCAGCAGCAGGAGTGGTCTCAGGAACAGCAGCAGCCGCAGCAGCAGCAGGAAATCCCGATTTCTGGGGCACAGCAACAGCATGATCTTGAGGAGGCTTGGAGGGTACTAGAAGAGCAACAACTAACACCTAACCCATTGCCCAATCACTCACATCCGCTAGATTCCCACCAGCAATTCGTGGAACCTCAGCAGCATCTGCCTGCAAGTCAGGTGCACACCACAGACGAAGTGCAGCTAGATCAAGGCCGCTGTATGGACAGCATTCCAACACCTGTCCTGACGTTCAAGCAGGATATGGATGGGATTACAGACAGTCCCACGTTTTATCCTTCATTTTCCTTGGGTGAAGGGGAGTCACCACCTCTTGTGGGAACGAATTCCTGCTTAGAGTCTGTAGACAAGCAGGTCCTCTAAATAATGCTGCATTTATGTTGTTCAGGTCAGCTGTACCACTGGACCGGTTCATGGACGCTTGCTGCGAGCAAGCTTCATACGTGGTAAATGTGTTGCTTATATCAGTGAACCATCCCATTTTTTTGGCTTGGACAATCGTGGTACATGAAAGATTGCTGCAGCCCCAGCTTTGATAGAGAGCTAAAGAAAACGGGAAGAATTCATCAGTTTCGTTGAACCAAGCTCCTTGCTTTCGACTAGAAAAAGAAACAGTAATTTTCCTGAAAGGACATAAATGATTGTCAGACGGTTCATTGCAGACAAACGTAAACCTTACAGGGCTTGAGCCACGATTCAGGGCTGGGATAGAGCACGTGTTGATGTCTAAGGTTGTCAATAAGCCTTGCCTGAAGAATCAGCATAATGCACGGTGAATGAAATGAGCACGTTCATGCTTGAAGCTGCTCAGTAACAGGCTGAGCCTGGTGAATGAAATGAGCCTGCTGAATGGATTGACGAAGAGGTCAGAACATTCAGCCTGGTCGAAAGTGGGGCCGCTCTACCCGTATCAACGTGCGATAAACGAATAGTCCAGTGTAAGAACGCCTTGAGCTGTCGACGAAATTGATGTTGCCTTGAATAATGAGATATCAGTGAGCCTGTCAGAGCTGGAGAAAGCCTAGCTAGCTCGCTGGTGACCTCTGCATGACCAAGCAACCGCAGGATAATACGTACACAGATTAAGTTAGGCCCACTATGCCTCATCTGGGTTAGACTGTTGTCAGAAATCCAGGAGTGGAAGCTGAAACCAGATTAGTCTTTCAGAGACTCCAGACGACAATCCTCAAGCAAACCAAAACAGCTCAAGGGAGCCGCTTGACGCTGGAGCTCATCACCTCGTTCGTGTGAGGGAAACAAACATTCCGATGAAGTTCACCTCATTCCTGCTATATTTTTGCTTGCAACGGTGCCAGCTTGGAATAGCTGACTCACAGCGCATCAACATTTCGTGGAAGGTGGGTTGTCTCTATGAGCTTCGTAAAGAACACATTCTGATTGGGTAACTCGACATCTCGAACTATTCAGCGGAGCTGTCACAAACGCAGACAGTGCCACATCACCAGACAATGCTTGGCCACTAAGCACCCGCACCGTGCATCTTATCGTTTCCCTCCAGCATTTGAGCAGTGACCGCGCCGCCCAACCTCCAATGCATCGATCGATTCGACGAGACATCGAGGTTGGACCACCCCAACATGTGGCTGTCCTGCGTGTTCTGTCCTTGTCACTTTCACCGCTGCTTCATGCCATCTCACCCAAGCGTTTCGCTGGCGTCGGCAAATCGACAGCCTCCAACCGTCGATACGCGGCCTCAGATGATCCGTCAACTGCTCAGTGCCGTTCGATCTGACGTAGACATTGATCCTCGTCACGCGATGAAACCAAGGGAGATGCAATTCTGAGTGCCTCCAACCGCATCAGCAGCAGCATGCAGCAGTCACAGAAATCGACGAGCGAGACCATCCCCCCAGCCAGCCATATGCCTTCTCGAGTTCTCGAATCGTGAATCGTGATCTCATACCACCAACACCATTACAGTTCATCGGACAGATTCATTTCATACAGATCAGTCATCGCACAGCCGTGACTTGGCGTCGGAGTTCCTTCGGCGAAACCGAGGCAGAGGCTAACCGTCTTGCTCCGGCTCCTTCGAAGGCTTTTTGTCAAGCCCTGAAGTCAGTCAATAGCTCCTAATCACAGCACTAGTTGACCTGCTGCTCGCTGAGATTGTCTGAATCAGCCGAGACTGAAGGGAATATGGCCGCTGTCACCACCTCCTCTCAAGGTGCTCTTGGTTTTCTACGTGACCTCTAAAATTTGCTGTACGATGTTCGTGTCATTTTTGCGCGGAATTGCAACAAATGCCAAGTCAAATAGATCGTTGCTGAATGGAACCTTGGTTTCCCCCATTTTGCCCGAGCAGTTGCCACGGCCGTAGCGCGCATCGCTGCATCCGCATCCGCGTCATCTCCACAACCCGCGAGCTCCCTTTCGCAATCGTCGTCTTCGCGAATCGCAGCGACCTCGCCTCTGCGGCTCGCTGCCCCTTCGCGGAGAGCCTCGATCCAGACAAGGCATGCGACCGCCACTGACCGGCGTAAGATCCGCAGATTCTGAGCCGGCAAAGGATTGCTACTAGTCACTATGTTTGATTGGTTTACGGGTTCTCGAATCGGACGAAGTGAGAAGTCTCTCGGATTTTAGGACGATAAAGAGCTATTACAGGGCTTTTACGCCTGTTAACTTAGACGGTCAGTCAGATATTCCTCCTCCTAACTGCTCCCTTCTACCTTTCTTGGTCCTTCGGTCGTTCCGTTTCATGCACAGTTGTCCAAGGAGATAAAGCAGAGGAGAAGGTCAAGGCCGAACAGGACAAAGAGGAGGAGGAGGCTGCTGAGAGCATTCATGATGACCTCCCTGTTCCGACTGCCTTCGAGGTGCGTTTCTTCAGATGCCCTCTGATGTGCGAGTATTTACGTGTCATTTTAATTGACCTAATAGCGAGCGTGCGACTTCCTTCGAGGTGCGTTCCTGTTGTTGTCTTCCTATGTGCGAGTGATAATCCTCGATTCTTCCTCTTAATAAATGAACACGGGTTATGACTGAATCATCTGTAAAGTTCTTCGTGATGCTGCTGATGGACATCTGCGACAAGGCTCGCTGATGTTTCTGGCTCATTACAAGTTATTGAATCGTTTCACTTCATTTGTTCAACCCCCCGTCATGGCGCTCTCAGATCCAGTCGCTGCTGATGGAGCTCTGCGACGAGACCAACATCGCCGAGCTCAGAATCAAGGTATGACCCCCCCCCCCCCCCCCCCCCCCCCCTCCAAAATAAAAAGAAGGAAACGTCTACTCAAGTCCAGCCCATTCATTTCTATCGCACACGTCCTTTTCTACCTGACTTTCATTCCAACTTACGCTACCATGATGGCTCCCATCTCCCCAATCGCCACCTGCCGGACTCAATCAGATCGGCAAGATGGAGCTGCACGTGCTGAGGGACGTGGGCGGGGTCAAGGCCGCGCAGGCGCAAGCCTATGCGCCGCACGCCCCCCTTCCCCCCATGTTCGACTCGCTTTCGCCCACGTCCCTGGCTGCTGCCTCTGCCCCTCCTGCGCCTGTTGCTGCGCCTCCTGCTGTGGCTGAGAGCGAGGCAGGCGTGGATGAAGGGCTTCAATACGTGACCTCGCCACGAGTGAGTTGACAGATAAACCTGTGCTTTTGCTGCCCATCCCCTGCCTGTAGCTGTGCTCTTCTGTGGCTGAAAGTGAGAGGGGCGTGCGTGAAGGCTTTGATATATGACCTCCGTGCTGCTGTATTGATTGATAGACCAGGGTTTCGGGTTTAAACGAGGGGTTACTACTGACGCACCATAGCACCACCCATGACATATTATTACCACTGGATAGGACCTGCAAACGAATGTCACCGTTTCACCTGGTGGGGGATTTAATACTAGAATATATCAGCAGCGATGACATTTCTAGTAAAGGGGCGACAACCTGCCTTTCCTCCTCTTGTTCTCATCCTTTTGCAAATTATTGGCTACATAACTTCGCATAAAATTCTGTTGTGCTCGCCCGCTCCACCTTCCCTCGTCCCTTCTCTTGTCTCTGACTTCTTTTCCCCCTATCCCCCGCTCCACATTCCAACAGGTGGGAATTATGCGCCGTGGTCGGCAGGTCAAGGGCAAGAAGGGCAAGCCGCTAGTCGCTGAGGTGAGAATGAGCTGGTTGAGAAGGTCAAGCTGGTCAGCGAGGTCAAGAGCTGGTCAACGAGGTCAAGATCTGGTCAACGAGGTCAAGAGCTGGTCAACGGGGTCAATAACTGGTCAACGGGGTCAAGAGCTGGTCAACGGGGTCCAGAGCTGGTCAACGGGGTCAAGAGCTGGTCAACGGGGTCAAGAGCTGGTCAACAGGGTCAAGAGCTGGTCAACGAGGTCAAGAGCTGGTCAACGAGGTCAAGAGCTCGTCAACGAGGTCAAGAGCTCGTCAACGAGGTCAAGAGCTGGTCAACGAGGTCAAGAGCTCGCCAATGGGATCAGGCTGAGAGAAGGGAAGGAGGTGAAAGGGGGAGTGCTGGGGAAGGGAAGAAACCGAATGGAGTTATGTGGATCAGGAAGAGTGTTGGCAGCTAAATGGAAAGTGTTGCGTGTGCGTCTGCGTTGCGTCCAAGTGCATCATGCCATTCTGGGTGAACTCACTGGGCGTTGCCACTGTTGCATGTGCCTTGCGCCCACATGCTATGGATTTACACTAGCTGCAAGATGACGCTGGTAACACAAATTTTATTTGGCTCTTGTCTGTCATGTGCTGCTGTTGTTTGTTTCTTTCATCTATCAGGGCTCGGAGATAAAGAAGGGGCAGGTGGTGTGCTATCTAGAGCAGCTTGGAACCCAACTCGCGATCGAGGTATGCTCCTTCTGGAAATGTTTCATTGTGTAGGCTTCCTAAGGACCTGTTTTACACCCTAGATATGAGCGTGTTCATTGTCTTGTGTGTGCCACACCTGGCGATTCTCCTGAGCCATGCCTGCTGTGCTCTCCTGAATCACCACTGCCTGCATGGCCCTCTCATAACAGCAATCCCGTCCTGTGCTCCCCTTTTTCCCGTTTGGTTCAATGGTGCAATGTTTTATTTGGTGTAACCCAGTCGGAGAATGCAGGAGAGGTGGTCAAATTCCTGGTGGAGGATGGGGATGCGGTTGGGTTTGGCGATGCTCTTGTGGCAATTCGACCCTCTTTCCCAGGAATCAAGAAGCTTGCATTGTAGTAGATTAGAGCTGACCTGCTAACAGGAAAATGCTCTATTGTCTCAAATAAAAGCATAATATGGTTCATAGATCATTAGTTTTTTCTCCTTTATCATCAAGCTGGAATCTTTAATCACAGAGTAGAGAGAATTTTGAATTATAAAAACCAGTGGTGACAGGTAATTTGATGTTGGCACTTGACTTTGAGGTCATCACTGTATAGTATTCTACTATACAAAGGCGGTCTTAGCATCACTTGCATAATCCGTACAGCGAAATCGTCAGTAAGAACGCCGCATCACATTTCCCCGCCAAAACTTGTGTTGGCATGACAAGCTTACTCTGACCATGCTTTCAGTAGTGATTGCCCACACTTGAATTTACAGTTGCTTGTAGCCTGATTCGCGAGCCGCCCTGCTCCATCATATTAGTTTGCGAATAAGCAATGGACGACAACGAACTCAACACGTTCTTTCGCGAAGCCTCTGCGACAGAGCCCGTGGTGTTCGTCAATGGCCGGCGGTTCGTGCTCCCCGTAGGTCACGCCGACACCACGCTGCTGCAGTTCCTGCGCGGTACGGCCGAGGCCCGACTTGCCTCCTTGAAAATCGACTTATGGTTATGTTGATTATATTTAGCTTATTGAGGAACGCTTTTGCGTTATTTGCTTTTATTTGTTTCAAGGTTCAGCCGGGTGTTTTTTCGGTTGTCGCTTTTTTTGCTCTTAACGGGTCACGCGCGACGTCTCGTGTTTCTGACGCTTGCTCCATCTCGTGCTTCATGCGGCTGACGGTTGTGACCACTAGTAGCATCCGGCTTCCCCCCTTTTCTTCCCGTCCCCGTTCCCCCCCACAACGCCACAGACAATGGCCTGACAGGCACGAAGCTGGGGTGCGGGGAGGGCGGGTGCGGTGCGTGCACTGTAATGGTGTCGCGGGTAGACGCTAGCACGGGCAGGATCAGGTGAGTAACGGTGGGGAAGGTGGCGAGTGAAATGGTGTGCATGCGCATTGGGTGCGAGGAGGGCGGGTGTGGGGTGTGCACTGTAATGGTGTCGCGGGTAGACGCTAGCACGGGCAGGATCAGGTGAGTAACGGTGGGGAAGGTGGGTGGGTGAGTGAGGAGGGTGTGTAAGAGTGAGAGTGTGCATGCGCCGGTAAGTCTGGAGAGCGGCTTTTGAGTTGACTCAAAAGAGAGGAGGGTGTGTAAGAGTGAGAGTGTGCACGCGCCAGTAAGTCTGGAGGGCGGGTGAGGGGAGTGCGCTGTGATGGTGTCGTGGGTAGATAAAGGGGCAGGCAGGATCTGGTAAATGATGACGGGTGGTGAGTGAAATAGTGGGCATGCGCATTGGGTGCGAGGAGGGCGAGTTGGGGGCGTGCGCATTGGGTGCGAAGAGGGCGAGTGGGGGGCGAGTGGGGGGCCTGTGGGGGCCGAGTGGGGGGCGTGCTCATTGAACCATGGCCTCTAAATGGGGCTCGAGAGGGCGAGTGGGGGGCGTGCGCTGTGATGGCGAGTGGGGGGCGTGCTCTGTGATGGTGTTGCGGGTAGACGCTAGCACGGGCATGATCAGGTAAGCGAAGAGTGGTAGTGAGAATGAGGGGGCCGAGTGAGTGAGTGAGATTGTGAGTGGTAGTCCATTGGATGGACGTAAGGAGGCAGGATCTTTTGGATGCACTGTAAAACCTTAATCTTATCTTTCCTGATCCCCATAATTCCCTCTTATATCCCACTTCTTCCCTTCCGGACCCTTCTCTCTCCTTCTCCACCCCTCACCCACCAGCCACTGTGCCGTCAACGCGTGCCTGGCCCCTCTATACAGCGTAGAAGGGGCAGCTGTGGTTACAGTGGAGGGCATCGGCAGCATGCGGGGGAGGCTGCATCCGGTGCAGGCGGCACTCTCCTCCTCCCACGGCTCACAGTGCGGCTTCTGCACGCCTGGGTTTGTCATGTCCATGTATGCCCTGCTCCGCTCCTCCTCCTCTGCTGCCTATACCTCTGCCTCCTCCTCCGCCTCCTCCTCTGCCTCCTCCTTTGCTGCCCCAGCCGCCTCTGCTTCCTCTGCTTCCTCTGCTTCCGCTGCGTCCTCCTCCTCCCTGTTGCCTTCCGAAGGTGAGATAGAGGAGGCGATATCAGGCAACCTGTGCCGCTGCACCGGCTACCGCCCCATTCTCGAGGCCTTCCGCACCTTTGCTCGCGCCGACGCTGCTGCCTATGCTGCTGACGCTGCCGCCAATGCTGCTTCTCATGGTGCCTCAAACATGTCTCTTCGGGATGGTCTTGTTGACGGGCAGCTTGGGGCAGCAGTTTGCCCTTCCACTGGCCTTCCCTGTTCGTGCGGGAAAGTTTCATCTGCCCAAAGTTTCGAGGCTAAGTGCTGTGGAGATGGCACGTGCAGCAAAGTCAAGCCCTGCTCACCAGGAGTATCAGGGGCAGCACTACCAACAGCAGCGCCAGGAACAGCAGCAGCACTAGCACCATCCAAAGCTGAAGCAGCAGCGGCGGTAGCGAGTGGCATCAAAGCTGACCTGCTGGGAGTGTCTGAGCCTATCTTCCCTCCCGAGCTACTGAAACGATCCGGGCACCCACTTCCATTGTGCCTCGGCGATTGTACATACTTGTTGCAACAGACCGGCTCCACCCCCACTGCTAGCAGCAGCAAGGAAAGGAGCCGGGCGGTGTGGTTCCGGCCAATCACGCTGCGCCAGCTGTTGGCGCTGCGAGAAGTTTTTCCTGCAGCCAAGGTGGTGGCGGGAAACACGGAGGTCGGGGTGGAGATGCGGTTCAAGGGGCTCAGGTGAGATGCAGTGCGGTGCAGATGGGTGAAACCGGGTTGGATTAGGTGCTTAGGGCAGCCAAGTTTCGCGGGAGCCTGTCGACCCTGCTCCGTTTTCTCATCGCCAATTCTAATCCCATCCTCCCTTTCTCTCCGCCGTTGCCTCTTTCCCCCATTCTCCCTCTTCCATTTCATCTTTCTCTCCCCCTTCCCCATCCCTCCTCCTTCCAGCCCTCCAGCCTACATCCACGTGGCAGCCATCCCTGTGCTCTCAGAGATCAGCCAATCAGAGCACGGGATCACCGTGGGGGCAGCAGCCTCCCTGTCCGCCCTGCGCCAAGCCATGCTATCAGCAGTGCAGCACGCACCAGCTCACAAGACGGCTGTGTGTGCTGCTACAGCAGAGCAGCTAAGGTGGTTCGCGGGAGTACAGGTAGGGAGATTCTGCTGCTGGAATGCTTCCCTTGAAGGAGCCCTTGAAGGACCATCTGGTACATTCCTTCACTGCTGGAATGTATCCTGTCTGGCCGTCATCTCTCGCATCGCATCTTCCATTGGCCTCTCCCTTGGAGTACTTGTACCATGACAAAGTTAGCTGGTAACACTGTAACTGGTGCTGCACGAGGTGACTTTTGAGTCGAGGTGACTTTTGAGTCGACTCAAAAGTCTCTCCGTTGGAGCATTTGTACCATGACAAAGTGAGCTGGTAACACTGTAACTGGTGCTGCACGCCTTTGAGAATCCCATTTCCCCACCCTCTTCATTCTTCCCCATTCCTCTTCCATGAACGACCCCCCTCCCTTTTTTCAATTTCATGGTTCCTCTTTCTTCCATTTTGAGGCGCCTCAAGGGTCCTCCTCCCTTGCACCTTGTACCTTTTTCAGATTCGCAACGTGGCAACGCTAGCTGGTAACATCGTAACAGCCAGCCCCATATCCGACCTCAACCCCATCCTCATCGCTGCCAACGCGACATTCCACCTCGCCAGGCTGGCACCCAAGGCCGCTGACGCGGCAGATGCTGACGTGGACAAGGCTCAGCACGCCACCCGTCCAATCGAGCTGCGACAGGTGGCAGCACGGGACTTCTTCAAGGGTTACCGGAAGGTGGATTTGAGGGAGGGAGAGGTTCTTACTGCCGTGTTCATCCCGTGGTGAGTAACTTGCACTGAGCCAGTTTTTGTGCTGTGCTTTATGCGCTGTAGTTGAATGACTTTCCCAGGACCATGTTTAAATGACTTTCCCAGGACCATGTTTAAATGACTTCCCAATGACCATGTTTAAATGACTTTCCCAGAGCCAGTTATGTATGGGGTAACGGAGCCAATCTTGATGTTGACTTCGTAGTTTACTTGCTCGTGACTTATCTCCGTTTTCTTGTCCACACAGAGTTCCGTTTACTCCTCCAATGATTGACGTCAGCACTAATTTTTTCTTGTCGCTGGTACCACTCGCACCATCGACAGACTTCGATCTCATCTCCGTTATCATTTTCCCGTGGCCGTTTTTTTTTTTTTTTTTTTTTTTTTTTTTTTTTGTTCTCCTTCTACTTGTATTACTTCTCCATGCACAGGACTCGGCCCAACGAGCACATAATGGCGTACAAGCAGGCACACCGCAAGGACGACGACATTGCTCTCGTCAATGCTGCCCTGCGCGCGCTGCTCTCGCCTCCCAACCGAGGTGCGTTCCCATCCGCTCCCAATCCAGGTTGGTGGGTGCCTGCTGCCCATGCCAACAAGAAAGAGGTAACTGGGAGTCGAGTCAAATGTCAAGCAGGCTCACCACAAGGACCACGACATCGCTCTCGTCAATGCGGCTCTGCGCGTGCTGCTCTCGCCTCCCGCTCCAGGTGGGTGGGGAGAGCAGCAGGTAACTGGTTTGAGTCGAGTCAAACGGCAAGCAGGCTCACCACAAGGACCACGACATTGCTCTCGTCAATGCGGCTCTGCGCGTGCTGCTCTCGCCTCCCACTCCAGGTGCCCATCCGCCCCTCCGCCCGTTTCCCAATCCGCCCATCCACCGATTAGCCCATCCGCCCATCCCAATCCACCCATTCCCTCATCCGCTCATCCGCTCCTTGTCTGTTCCCTTGTGTCTGCTCACCCTATTTCCCCCCCCCCTTCACCCGCGTCTCCCCTTTTTTCCCCCATCCAGACGCCCCTCCTACTGTCCTCGAATGCTCGCTCGTCTTCGGAGGAGTGGCAGCAACAACCGTGTCAGCCCACCGCACGCAACAACACCTTCTCACCCGCCCATGGACTCAGGAGACTCTTCAGGTGGCGCTTCAGGTGCTTCAGGAGGAGATATCCGTACCTGAGGACGCACCTGGAGGCATGCCTGAGTTCAGGGGGTCTCTCGTTCTCTCTTTCTTCTTCAAGTTTTTTCTGCTCGTGGCCCACCGCATGAACGGACATACTCAACAGCAGCTGCTGCGAGGGAAAATGGTAACGGAGGCAGAGGGAGGGGCAGGGGCGGAGGGAGGGGCAGGAACAGGCTCGGAAGGTGAGAAAAGCACCCTCACAACTACCAGCACCACAGCCAACGCCAGCAGCAGCGCCAGCAGCAGCTTCGATGCAGCTTCCTTGTGGCCGCCCCCCTCCTACCTGTCCGCCTTGACCGCTCTCCCTCGCCCCTATCCCCGCGGCATGCAAGCATGGGAGGCGAGACCTCTGGCAGAGGGCGCTGCTACTGGCAGTGCTAGTGAGGGAGGGAAGGAGGATGGAGAGGAGGTGGTGGGAGTGCCGGCTGTTCACCTCTCTGCTGACTTACAGGTGACAGGGGAGGCAGAATACGCGGATGACACGCCTCTCCCCCCCTCCGCCCTGCACGGGGCTCTCGTGCTCAGCACACGCCCCCACGCCCGCATACTCTCCATCGACCAATCAGAGGCCGCCACCTGTCCGGGCTTCGTGGGGATGTTTGGGGCCAAGGATGTGCCCGGTAGCAACCGGTTTGGTGCGGTGGAGCACGATGAGGAGGTGTTCGCATCGGAGATTGTGCAATGTGTGGGGCAGGTACGAGCGGGGTGGTTAGGTATGGGTGTGGGGCAGGTGAACGTGGGGCAGGCGGGTGTGGGGCAGGTATGGCTGGGGCAGGTAGGTCGGCAGTTACGTATCCACCTACCTCCCACTCTTACTTTCTTAACACCATCAGCTTCCCCCATTCTTCCCTCAAAACCCTCATTCCTTTCAATTGCTTTCTCCTGCATTGTGGACGTTCTTTCCAACTTGCCCAATCGTTTTCCTGCCCTCTAACAGATAATTGCAGTGGTTGTTGCCGACACTCACGACAACGCTCGGGCAGCCGCAAAAAAAGTCAAGGTGGTCTACGAGGACCTGCCCGCCATCCTCACCATCCAGGAAGCCCTTGCTTCGGGCAGCTTCCACAAATTCCCGTTCTCGGGCGGGCAGACCGAAAGAAACCTCCTCAGGGTCCCGAACCCCCCTGGGAAAACCGATCAAGAAAAGGGCTCAAAAGAGAACAACAAAGTCAAACCTTCCCCGGCCGATTCAGCAAGCTTCCAAGTGCTCGCCGCCCGGACCGGGTCCACCGTCTCCCCTGCTGACGTGGAATCCGTCCTTGCTGACGCATCCCAATGCCCATTGGTTCTCGAAGGCGAGGTGGCAATGGGCGGGCAGGAGCACTTCTACCTCGAACCAAACACCTGTGTGGTCTGGCCTGTGGACGGGGGAAGGGAAGTCCACATGCTCTGTTCCACGCAAGCCCCCACACACCACCAGAAGGACGTTGCTTCTGTTCTTGGGATTCCCATGCACAGGGTGGTTTCGCGGGTTAAGAGGCTGGGAGGGGGGTTCGGGGGGAAGGAGACGCGGAGTGTGCTGGTGGCGGCGGCGGCGTGCGTGCCGGCGTGGCGGTTGAATAAGGCTGTGCGGGTTACGCTGGAGAGGGATGATGATATGAAGGTCACGGGGCAGCGACACCCCTTCTACGGCAAGTATAAGGTGGGTGCGATTGCGGTTTGTCAGATTCAAGGTGAGATGCCTGTTTCCAAGGGAGTCTAGTGGTGGCCGCAGCGGCGTGTGTTCCGGTGTGGCAGTTGAACAGGGCTGTGCGGATCACGTTGGATCGGGATGATGATGTGAAGGTCACGGGGCAGCGGCATGGCACCTCTTCTATGGCAAATACAAGGTGAGAACAAATCGGTAAGGTATGGCATGGCATGACATGGCATGGCATCATACAGCTTGCACCAACCCAGGGCTATCAGAACCTCTTCTTCCCTCACCTGCTCCCCTCCCCCCCTTCTCCACCCGTCCCCCTCCCCCTTCCCCTTATTCCCTCTCTCCCCTCCCCTTCGCCCCTCTCCCCCCTCTCTCCCCCACCCCCACCCTCCTTGAACAGATGGGCTTCACACCCGCGGGTCATCTCGTGGCTCTCCAAATCCTCCTAGTTTCCAATGCCGGCTGCACTCTCGACCTCTCAGCAGCGGTGCTAGAGCGAGCCCTCTTCCACTGTGACTCTGTCTACTCACCACCGCACATGCATGCCCAGAGGCACATGGCTCGCACGCACCTGCTTGCCCCCCGCTCAACCCTCCTCCCTCCTTTTCCCGTCCTCCTCTCACCCGCTCTGGACAGGTAGGCTTCACCCCTTCTGGTCGCCTTGTGGCTCTCCAAGTCCTGCTCCTGTCCAACGCCGGCTGCACTCTCGACCTCTCAGCAGCAGTGCTAGAGCGAGCCCTCTTCCACTGTGACTCCGTCTACTCAGCACCACACATGCACGCCCGGGGCCGCATGGCTCGCACGCACCTGCCGTCCAACACGGCGTTCCGGGGCTTCGGTGGGCCGCAGGGGATGATGGTGATGGAAAGTGCTATCGATCACGTGGCGAGGAGCCTTGGGAAGAGTGCGGAAGAAATCAGGGTGAGTCTTGGTTTAAGCAAGGAGTGTTGGCACGAGTGGCGGGCCGCAGGGGATGATGATGATGGAGAGTGCAATCGATCACAAGGCGAGGACTGTTGGGAAGAGCGCGGAAGAGCTACGAGTGAGTGTGTTGATTTTGCGGAGTAAGGTCATGGTTGTGTAGGGTGGTACTAGCGGCGGGCCGCAGGGAATGGTGGCGGTGGAGAGTGCACTCGACCATGTGGCAATGACCCTTGGGAAGAGCGCGGAAGCAATAAGAGTGAGTATTGATTCATGCAGGGAGTGTTGGGGCGAGTGGCGGGGTGGTGGAGAGTGCTATCGACCATGTGGCGAGGAGCCTTGGGAAGAGTGCGGAGGAAATCAGGGTGAGTGTGTTGGTTGGTTCAGCATTGGTAGGGGTTGGTGGAGCAGGCAATGCTGGGGATGGAGAGTGTTGTTGACCATGTGGCGAGGTCTGTTGGGAAGAGTGCTGAAGAGCGTAGAGTGGGTCTTGCTTTTATGCAGTGAGCCATAACCCAACGCCTTCCTATTCCCGTGACCCGTCCCCACTCCCTCCTCCCCCCAACCCCCTGTTCCCTCCCCCATCCTCCCCCCGCTCCTGCAGTTTCTGAATCTCCAACCAGAGGGCTAGACACTGCGCTTCGGCCAGAATCTGACTCACAACCCGATTCTTCCCACCCCCTTCCTCTTCCCCCACCCCCCCCACCCCCCTCTCCTTGCCTCCAGTTTTTGAATCTCCAACCAGAGGGCTACACACTGCACTTTGGCCAGCCGCTGACGCACAACCCGATGCACCGAATCTGGACGCAGTTACTCCATTCTTCCTCCTTTGAATCCCGCCGACTCGACATCGACACGTACAACTCAACAAGCCGGTGGCGAAAGAAGGGCCTTGCTATGATCCCCACCAAGTTTGGCATTTCGTTTACGGCCAAGTTTCTGAACCAGGGCGGGGCGCTGGTGCACGTGTACACGGACGGAACAGTGCTGGTGACACATGGAGGGGTGGAGATGGGTCAGGGGCTGCATACCAAGTGCGCTCAGATTGCTGCTCGGACGCTGGAAGTACCGCTGTCGAATGTGTTTATTTCTGAAACCAGCACGGATAAGGTAACCAACACCCCTCCCACGCCTTTGGACTCATTCAAAATCTTTAACCCTGAATCCCAGACAATTTGTTGAAAAGCCTTAAAAAAACCTTCCTGCTGCCCTCTTACTGCTCCCTATTTCAGGTACCCAACACTTCCCCCACAGCCGCATCAGCATCGTCAGACATCTACGGGCAGGCGGTTTTAGAGGCATGTGAGGAGATCAAGCGGCGGATGGCGCCGATCAGGCAGCAGTACCCTGAGGAGACTTTTGGGCAGGTGAGATGAAACGGTACAGGTGAGATGAAACGGTGCAGGTGAGATGAAAAGGTGTAGGTGAGATGAAACGGTGTAGGTGAGATGAAACGGTGCAGGTGAGATGAAACGGTGTAGGTGAGATGAAACGATGCAGGTGAGATGAAACGGTGCAGGTGGGATGAAACAGTGCAGGTGAGATGAAACGGTACAGGTGAGATGAAACGGTACAGGTGAGATGAAACGGTACAGGTGAGTTGAAACCGTACAGGTGAGATGAAACAGTACCGGTTGAAACGGTACAGGTGAGTTGAAACCGTACAGGTGAGATGAAACGGTACAAGTGAGATGAAACGGTAAAGGTGAGACAAACAGTATAGGTGAGATGAAACAGTACAGATGAGGTGAAACGGTGTAGGTGAGATGCAACTGTATTTTGTGAGATGAAATGAAACGGTATACCATCCATATGCTCCCCATATACCGCTCAGTTTACCCCATGCGCAACCCCCTGCCTCCCCCGTTGCTCCCCCTCCTCCCTCTCCCCACACTCCTCTCGCCACAGATCGCTGATCGTTGCTACAGGGAGCGAGTAAACCTGTCAGAGCAGGGATTCTTCGCCTCCCCCAATATTGGCTTCGACTGGGCAACAGTGTCAGGCTCTCCCTTTGCCTGCTTCACGCCCCCCATGTGCACCGCCCTGTTTCCCCCTGCCTCCCCCTCCTCCCCCTGCTGTCTCGCCTCCTCCCAGAGTGCCGATCGGTGTTACAGAGAGCGAGTAAACCTGTCAGCACAGGGATTCTTTGCCACTCCAAACATCGGATTCGACTGGGCAACAGCCTCCGGATCTCCCTTTGCGTACTTCACCTTTGGAGCAGCGGTGGCGGAGGTGGTGGTAGATGTGCTCACAGGGGAGTGGGTGGCGCCGCGAGTGGATGTTCTCATGGACGTGGGGCGGTCACTCAACCCGGCTATCGACATTGGGCAGGTGTGTATGTGTTCCCATGGCACAGGGACGTGGTGACTTCTGAGTCGACTCAAAAGTCACCTCGATCCCTGAACCCGGCTATCGACATTGGGCAGGTGTGTGTGTGTGTTCCCGTGGCACAGGGACGTGTTTTGAGGTGGGTGACTTGTGTTTGGAATGGCAACCTAGGAGCAGCTGCAGGTGACTTTTGAGTCGACTCAAAAGTCACCTTGTGTTTGGAATGGCAACCTAGGAGCAGCTCCAGCAGCGGTGGCGGGGGTGGTGGTGGATGTGCTGACAGGGGAGTGGGTGGCATTGCGAGTTGATGTTCTCATGCACGTGGGGCGATCCCTGAACCCAGCTATTGACATTGGGCAGGTGGGTGGGTGGCCTCTTTGGTTTTGGAATGACAACCAAGCAGTAGCTGCAGTGGTGTCGGAAGTGGAGGGTTATGTGCTGTCGGGGGAGTGGGTGGCACCACGAGTTGATGCTCGTATGATGTGAGGCGGTCACTGAACCCAGCCGTTGACTTTTGAGCGTATGATGTGCGTTTTTTCACAAGTTTTTACTGTTGTTCCTTTGCTCAAGCGTCCTCTCTACTACTGCAGCCCTTCGAAACATAAGTCAGGGTGACCCTTGGAGAGGGTGGCACCACGAGTTGATGCTCGTATGATGTGAGGCGGTCACTTGATGTGAACTTGAATGATGTGAACCCAGCCGTTGACATTGGCTAGGTATGTGCTCCCATCGGTCAAATGCGGCCGAGAGCGAATCCAGTCAGGTGGTGGTGAAGATGGGGAAGCACATCACCGAGTGGTCTCTTGCGTCTAGATTTTCATGGGCATGGGCATGGGCATGGGCAGATTGCTCTGTTTCCTCATCTCCCCAACCCGCCCCCCTATTCCGTGCAGATAGAGGGAGCGTTTGTACAAGGAATGGGGTGGTCGGTGATAGAGGAGAGCAAGTGGGCCGACAGTGCCCACCCCTGGGTGGCGCCTGGATGGCTCACAATTCTCATTGTTTTCCTTTCCTACACCCCTCGCTTCTGCAGATAGAGGGAGCGTTCGTGCAGGGAATGGGGTGGTCGGTGATAGAGGAGAGCAAGTGGGGCGACAGCGCCCACCCATGGGTGGCGCCAGGCTCTCTCTTCACGTGTGGCCCCGGCACGTACAAGATCCCGGCTGCCTCTGACATTCCCACTGACTTTAGAGTCACCCTGCTGGCGGTGAGTGAGATAGAGAGTGTGAGGCAGGGGGTGAGGTTGAGTGGTCGTTTCTTTCCTTCACTTCCCCTTCCCCATCCCTTCTTTTGTTCCTTTGTCACTTTGCACCTTTTTCCGCGTCCTGCCCTTCCCCTTACCCCAATTTCCTTCCTCCCCCCCACCTTCCTCCCCTTCTTTTTTCCACCATCCGCCCTCTTCTTCCCCGTTCCACCTTTGGCCTATCCCCTGCCACCACAGGACTCCCCCAATCCGCACGCAGTTCTCTCCTCCAAAGCAGTCGGCGAGCCGCCCTTCTTCCTCGGCTCATCAATCATGTGGGCCATAAAAGACGCAATCTACGCTGCCCGGAAGGACGCCGGCCACACTGGCTTCTTTCGTCTAGACTCTCCCGCCACACCAGAGAGAATCCGCCTGGCATGTGCTGATCAGCTGACAGAGCCGTTTTGTGGGCCGAATGTTGTGCCACGGCTTAGCGTGTAACCTCCTTGTGTAACTCACCTGCATGTGTAACCCCTTGGCATCGTTGGTCCAGTGTTGCACAGTCACTGCTGGCTACATGTTGGTCCCTGGCCTGCTGTGACTAAGCATGTAACATGGACTTCTACATCACTTATAATTCTGTAAATATGTCATGGTTATTAAAGGAGCTCCTGGAAAGTTGAGCGAGTTTGATAATAGCATTATTAGGAATGATTTAATCAATGGAACAATATTAGTCAAAATGTTTGGACTCTATTTCACTGTATCTGACTAGTGCCAGTGGTCTAGTGGTAGAATAGCACCCTGCCATGTGCCCGGTGCAGACCCGGGTTCGATTCCCGGCTGGCACAGATCTTTTGCTTTCTCCCATTTTGCTTTTTTGCACACACCCCTACACAATCCACCCACCTGCTCAGATCTTCAGGAGTAACTTCTTATCTTCAGGTGAGGATGACCTTGGGTGGGGACTCGAATTAGGCTATCACACATACTAGCAGTCTCCTGATTCCCATGCCTCATCTCATCCAGTCATGCATCCAAGCGCAACTTCATGTATGATACGATACGCAGCGCATGATTTAACATCTCATGTCTTACCTTACCAGTACCTGCCGGATTCAACTGGCCCCGACATTACTGGCACAAATGGCGCTACCTGGTCCACCTGGTCTTAGCCTTAGCCCTACCTAAAAATGCCCTCCACCTCTGACACCTCACATAAGCTCCCGTCACACATAAGCGCCCGTTCGTGATTTCATTTTTGTTCTGGACTGGACACGCTTTCCAAGGGAAGCTTTCCTCCCGTGAAGCAAAACCGACATTTGTGGTATCAGAGCACGAGCTTGTCTTCATCGGGTGAGGGGAGCACCCCAGCAACAACCCCGGTGATCTCTTGCAGCGTGAGCAGCACTGAGTGCGCGTACTTGGCTTGCCTGCGGAGGGGAAGAGGGGTCGGGTGTGGGCAGGGTGCGGGCGGCAAAGCGAGAGGGAAAGGAAGGGCGGCTTAACACCCTAGCAGCACCCCCTGTGATCTCCTGAAGCGTGAGCAGCACTGAGTGCGCATACTTGGCTTGCCTGGGGAGGGGAAGAGCGGGTGGGTGTGTGCAGGGTGCAGGGGGGAAAAAGAGAAGGGGAGGAAAGACTGCTTAAAGCCCCAGCAGCACTCCTTGTGATCTCCTGTAACGTGAGCAGCACTGAGTGCGCATATTTGGTTTGCCTGGATAGTGGGGAAATCATAACAGGGCGATGGAGAAGAGGGGGAACAAGTTGATTAAAAAGCCTGAGGGGGAGGGCAGGCAGGCTGTTTGATGCGCCAGTAGAAGCACTCCCTGTGATCGTGTGCAGGGCGAGGTGACTCTTGAGTCGACTCAAAAGTCACTTTGTTTAATGCGCCAGTAGAAGCACTCCCTGTGATTGTGTGCAGGGCGAGGTGAATCTTGAGTCGACTCAAAAGTCACTTTGTTTGATGCGCCAGTAGAAGCACTCTCTGTGATCGTGTGCAGGGCGAGCAAGCAGTGCTAAGAGAATGTCGGAGTCTACATGTGTCTCACATCTGTCCAACACGATACCTCTTCTCTGTGAGCTTGGGGCTGGGCCGGGGTGACTTTTGAGTCGACTCAAAAGTCGCTTGGGGCTGGGCCGATGGTACTTGAGATATCCATCCCACGGCATCTGGTAGGCTCACACACGCAGGTACCCCTCTGTAAGCTTGTGCCAGCCTACCTCTCTCACAGACATGTACCATGTCTCTGTGAGCTCCGTACTCTCTATCTCCCTCCCTTTCCAACCATACCTCTTTTCAGTGAGCTTGGGGCTGGGCCGATAGTCCTTGAGGTACCCATCCCACAGCAGCTTGCAGTCCCACCCTCATTCCCCCTACCCCCCTCCAACTCCCCCCCACCCAACCGCACACACACCGAACCTCTTCTTCTCTCTCACCATACCTCTTCTTCTCTCTCTCACCATACCTCTTTTCAGTGAGCTTGGGGCTGGGCCGATAGTACTTGAGATACCCATCCCAGGGCACCTTCTTGATGCCTGCCCTCCTCGCAATCAGCTCCCGCACCCTGCCATGGGGGCACGCAGGAAGGGATGGAAGAGGAGGGGTAGAGATGGGGCATTTGAGACACAGGGCCACCCCAGGGAACCTTCTTGATGCCTGCCCTCCTCGCAATCAGCTCCCGCACCCTGCCATGCGGGAGGGGATGTTGAGAGGAAAAGGCGATAGGAGGAGATGTACGACAGCTGTATGCATATACCACAAGGCACACACTAATGCCTACAGACCACTGGGCAGTCGCACACGCCACTGGGCAATCGCACGTTTGCTGCTCAGACATCACATCATCGTCCCTCATTCGAGTGACTTTTGAGAATTTCCAAAAGTCACTCACACACACCACTGGGCAGTCAGTCGCACGTTTGCTGCTCAGACATCACGTCATCGTCCCTCACCGTTCAGAGAAGTCAACGGCTGACTCCCCGGGTTGGATGTACTGCGGTTCCATGAACCACACGTCACACACCACCACTGAGTCCACTCATTCACACCATCACAAAACTTGCATAACCATCTTTTACCGTTCAGAGAAGTCGATTGCTGACTCCCCTGGTTGGATGTACTGCGGTTCCATGAACCACACGTCACACACCACCGCCCATGACGTCATCAGACGCACAAGATGCATCGTGAAGGATTGCCTGGAGGTACGGAGAGGTGGAGGAGGGGGTGTGGAGGGAAAAAGTGGGAAATAGGAGAGGTGAATTCGGAACTGCAATTTGCCAACAAATGAGACAGGACAAATAAAAGGTGTGACATAAGGTGGGGCATGAGGATGGGGCATGAGGATGGGGCATGAGGGTGGGGCATGAGGATGGGGCATGAGGGTGGGGCATGAGGATGGGGCATGAGGGTGGGGCATGAGGGTGGGGCATGAGAGGGCTTAAAACGAGGGCACGGATATCCCGAGGGTGGGGCATGGGGGTATGGGGGCATGGGGGTATGGGGGCATGGGGGACGGAAGTAGGGGGGCAAGGGTTAGGAGAGCAGGAGGGGAGCATGGCAAGAGGCAAAGGGGCAGGGAGGAACAGTGGGAGGGTAGAGGTGGGCCGTACTGGCGGCTGTTCCAGAAGGCATCGACGAAGGTCTTGTTGTACTTGATGGCGATAGGGCACACGGCGCAGTCCAGCTCAAATGCTCCCTGCATACATGCATGCATGAGAGCGAGGGTGGAAGTAAGAGTGGATGGTGAATGTACGGAGAACGGGTGCTCAACACAAGAGATAATGGTGGCGCCCCCGGCACAATCCAACCCGAGAGAGAGAGAGAGAGAGAGAGAGAGAGAGAGAGAGAGAGAGAGAGAGAGAGAGAGAGAGAGAGAGAGAGAGAGAGAGAGAGAGAGGTTGATAGACCCGTGTAGTGTAACCGCCACGTCGAAGCTGCTTTTAATGTTCACACCAACTTCAATAGATACAACTCTGTTTCCGGTCTCCCTTGCATCGTGTAGTGATGCTCGGTGCTAAAAAGCCTGTTGTGTTCTACAGCCATTACATGAATGAGCACAAGAGAGTGCTGATGACTTGTATTTCTGAGCCAAACAACTTCATGGATGGGTTGATACGGCTGGACTAACAACAACACAAAAAGCGTCTGCAACTAGCTCCACTAGCTCGAGCCGAGTTGCGGTTGATGGAAGAAAGTCGTGCATATTTGGAAGACATAGGAGAAGGTACTCGCACAGAGCGCGTAGAGCAGGATAGAGCAGCAAAGAGGGGTTTGAAAGGCGTTTTGGAGGCCCTCTCCTTGCTGCTCTATCCTGCTCCACATGTTCTGTGTGAGAACCCCCTTTTTTCCCTTCCAAATATGTACACCTTTCTTCTATCAAGCAAACTCGAGCCGGTGCTTCTTGTATTGCTGTTGCGGCAGCTGTATCAACCCATTCATGAAGTCATTCAGCGCGGAAATACAAGTCATCAGCAATCTCCAGTTCTCATCCATGCAATAGCGCCAGAACACAACAGCCATATCAGAGATGAGCATCACACATCTTATTCGATGCAGGGGGCACAAAAAAACAGAGTTGTAAGTGAACGTGATTGGAGTAGGTATATCACAAAGAGCTTCCTCCCGGCGGCTACGCAAATGCATCAACTGCTCCAATGAACGCATCTCTCTCTCAATTCCACTCGTGCAGGAATGGTGAGGGGAGGGAGAGGGGAGGTAGGGAGGTGCATGATGGATACATGTTACATGTTACAAATTACAGTTGATAGATGGCCAACAGATGGTGAATGGGGAACCGAGGGGAGTGCTGCCATGCCAAGTTTCCATGAACTTGAACACATACCTGCACCTGTTCCCATACCTATCCATACTTTCACAATGGAATCTAGCAAAGTCAACAACATTGTTACTTGCACATATGTTCACACTTGTCTCAACGCACCTTCTTGAACATGACTGTGTACTCGTTATTGACACATGTGCCCTCAGGGAATATAAGCAGCGGGTTGGCATCCGCTCTGGCAACATGCTGCTTCAGCCTGCAAGTAGACAATGGGCATTTACCAGGATATAACAGCAAATCCGGGGAAAAGGCAAAAAAAAAAAAAAAAAAAAAAAAAAAAAAAAAGGATCGGAAATCCACCAAAAAAGAGATTACAATGTACTGACGACAGATCACAGTCTCCTGTAGTGTGCACATACTTGTTTGTCACAATAGCTCTGTCCTTGGCCTCTGTGCGGTTGAACCAGATGCAACCCACGCTCTCTAGAACAGTCTTCTGCAGCAGCCCTGCTCACAAAGGAGAAGGTGCACAAATCATGAATAGGGTTAGAGGAATTGCACTACACCACACCAGCACAACTGCCGCAAGAAAATCATAAACCATGACCCATGCATGACCTTGAACCATGACCAATGACTAGGACCCCAAGCACCCAACACGCACCAAACCATGCCCCATACCCACCCCTTTCCCCACCTGCCTCTCCCTCTTTC